CGGGGGTCGTCGGAGGTTATTCCTCCTTTTGGAGGATTTATCAGTGAATTGACACCCTTGGACCTTAGGGTCTGGAGACCTGCGCCCATTTCACTCTTTTGCGCTTGCGGCTGCTATTATAGCGGGCTGTGGCACTGCTAACTCTCTGTGTCTGGTCTCGGGCAGGCGCATCTCTGGCTTGTCGGCCTCAAGACACCTTGCCACCTCCCGGGTGGTGCTCTCTTATTTCATTTGCGCTGCGTGGCCTCCAAACAGCGTCCGACGGCTCTGGGGTTTAGCGGGGCCTCGATGGTCTCTTCCCCTTATCCCATGTCACCATTTTCGCGAGGTGGGTCTGGCTTTATGGGAGTTTAGGCGTTTGAGCCATAAGGCTCATGGTTGGGGGGGTGGATGTCTTTTAGTAGTTCACTTAGTACCCAGGCCACGTAGTGTACGTGTTTGTAGATAGTGAGCGGGCTGCCATCGAGCACCGCTATACAAGTTGTTGATAAAATATATTAAGGCATATGGAGGGGGGGTTGTGGGCAGAAGTCAAGAGGGAGGGGGAAGGGCAAGAAGGGGCAGGTGGGGTGCAGAACGACTGTGAACACTGGGCTCGTTCATGCACCGGGGCACTGTTGGACGGCCCCTGGGAGTGTTGGATGGCAAGAAGGGGCGGCGGAGAAGGAGGGTGGTGGTGGGGTGAACCAGGTGGGCAGTGGGGTGAGAACGAGCCCAAACGACCCTGAGCGTTGCAGTTCAGGGCAGTTTGTGCACCAGTGGGACGGCCCCTGGGGGTGTGGGACCTATGACGCATGAAAACTCTCTGAGAGTTTTTGTGCGTCATTTGTTTGCGTCCCTACAAACACTTGCTAAATTCGCTGGGCCCCTTCCTCTTTCACAACCGCCATCATCTGGACTCCTCCAGATGGTGTCGGAGGGGCGAGAGGAGGGGATGGTGGTGGCGGAAGGCAAGAGGCAGGCAGTGCTAGATGGGCAGGCAGGCGCGACACAGAACTAGTGCAAACAATGCCGAACACGGAGGTTTGGTGTCGTTCAGTGTCCTTGAAGGCTGTTGGTAGGGGTGAGAGGCAGAGGGTGAGGAGGGCAAGCAGGTGGTCATGGGGTTGAGAGGGGCAGGTGGCGGTGGCTGAACAATTACTACAGTAGCCAGTAAAAATGCAGTGAACTATTGAAAATGTAGCTATGCCATCAATGTAATACTTACTGTGGGAAAAAAGGCATGGATGACCATAATGTGGGAAAGAAAAATGATCTCTGTGTCCCAGGTTGAAAGAACAAGTCTTACTTACATAAGAACTCATAATAAACTACTTGCCTGAATTTTTTTTTTTTTTCATCAACAACTTATATAGCAGTGCTCGATGGCAGCCCGCTCGCTATCTACAAACACGTACGCTACGCAGCCTGGTTACTAAGTAAACTACTAAAAGACGTCCGCCCCCCCAACCACGAGCCTTAGGGCTCAAACGCCTAAACTCCCATAAAGCCAGACCCACCTTGCAAAAACGGTGACACGGGATAAGGGGAGGAGACCATCGAGGCCCCGCTAAACCCCAGAGCCGTCGGACGCTGTTCGGAGGCCACGCAGCGCAAATGAAATAAGAGAGCACCACCCGGGAGGTGGCAGGGTGTCTTAAGGCCGACAAGCCAGAGATGCGCCTGCCTGAAACCAGACACAGAGAGTTAGTGGCGCCGCTGCCCACTATAATAGCAGCCGCAAGCGCGGAAGAGTGAAACGGGCGCAGGTCTCTGAACCCTAAGGTCCGAGGGTGTCAATTCACCGATAAATCCTCCAAAAGGAGGAACAACCCCGCCCACAACGATTATCCGACACCCGAAGGGTCCCGGTTGAAGCCAAACGCCGTAGGGTTGTACTTCATAAAAGATGCAATATCCCCAAGAAAGCGGGGGTAATGCACGGAGTAGCAATCGCGACAGTGAAAGAGGACGTGCTGACGGGACTGCAAGGCAGCCCCGCACGTGCAGCCGTGAGGCTCATTGATCTTGAAGCGACGGTAGTACGCTCCAATGGGCGCGTGGCCAGTTATACACCGGCAAACGCAGGCGAACTCAGTGATACTGTGTCCGAAGGTTGAAAGCCAAGGTCCCCCATTGAGGTACGATGGCTGTAGCAGCCGCCCGTCAGGCTGTTGAAGCTCTAAAAATTCAGAGCCTTGGTAGGTTGGATCCTGGAAAGTGTAATTCCACGAATCCAGGACTGAGTGTGCGGCTTGGGAGCGTAGCGCGTCTATAGAGTTGTCCGTCTTGCGACGTCCAACCCTGACTTTGAGCTCGGTGACGTACTTGTGTGCTTCACCATGGATATCCCACCGCAGAGCAGATGGGACGTAGACAAAGGTAATGCGGTGGAGATCATCTGCCTCAAACCACTCTTGAAGAGCGCGACAAACTGACAGGCTAAAAGCTTGACCAGAATGCACGCTGGGGTCAACTGCTCTATGGGCCGAGCCCATAGAGTCAGTAAAGACCATAATATGTTGGCAGTTTGCCTGCTTGACAGCAAGGCGCACTGCGCACGAGATGGCATTGAGTTCCGCATCTGGGGCGGTAACTCTGCCAGAGACATAGCGAGTCCTCTCGAGCTCGCGATGTCCCTTGTAGATTATAGCAGCCGAAGCCGCCTGATACTGGTTAGACTGAGGGACAGAGCCATCAGTTGCAGCCAGTACTGTTAATGGGTCGGCCCTCACTCTTGTGATGAGCTCGTCTAGATATGGACACCTATCCTGGGTAGGATCGTGCTCGTCAAAGTGGATACGGTCCGCATAGCGGTCCAGCAACCGATCGCCTGGGCGAGCTTCGGGTGCAAAGGGCTCGAAGCTCTCAGAGCTCAGAGCTCATTCCTGGATGTCTAAGAAGCATCTGAAAAGTGCACAGCTCAATACCATGAGCCTCAGAAGCCAGATAACAGCCTTGGAAGTTGCATAATTGAGCCAGGAGCAGGGGATGGGTTGTGACAAATGCTGGCATATTTCAATTATTTCTGGGCCATTTTGATTTTAATTTAAAAATAT